GAGATCACAGTGATAAATTCAGGGACCGTAGGAAATTTGATTAAGGCTTGAATATTACTGGAGCGGGACTCACATTTGAGGGGGCTCTTGTCAATCCTTGTATCCAGCTTGTTGGGGTAAATCCAGAGAAGAGGGAAGTCGTTGGAGGGCGGACAGATAGACAAGCGTTGGACCCAGAGGAATAAAGGAGCAGACTGTCACTTGGATTTCCGAAGAGGACTTGAACGGATCATGCGGAGGTTTCCCCTGCTCAGTGTGTTCTCACTAAATCCTTCCAGGGGGAGAAGATCCAGGTATCCAGTTACTCAGGAAGGCTTCCTGCCAAAAAGCAAAGACAAAAACTAAATAAGTCTCAGAGGAACAAAGATTAGGTTAGACTCAGCTAATCTCAGCTTGGCTAGAGTACCCAAAACTGGCAAACACTCTGGCGTCAAGGCAGTGACAGCCTACTGCTCAAATACTCCTCCAGTAATGGTCCAACAAGCTGCAGGTGTGCAAGGAGTCCCAACGAGGACAGGGCACCACCTGGTGGTGGAGAGAGAAAAACACACAAACAACCCACACAAACTGGATTCCTAACAGAAGTTATCTTTTTCCACTGATAATGGCTGTCTTACTTTCTAAAATATTTAAAAGTGTCAATAAAATAAAGTTCTGAGGGAGAAACAATACTTCACAGCAGTATAGCCATGGATCCATGTGAAGCAGCTTGCCTAGTCTTTCTTGACACAAGCTTTACTTTCCCTGCAACTCTGCAGGCAGTTGGTTATAACCATCCCCCTTCTTTACTTACAAAGCTCAGGCTTTCTCTGAAATAGTAACAGTACATGACTAGATTGTATCAACGTTAAACAACAAGGACAACTTTTAAATATTTAAACAGAATTGAGCTTAAAACCATTTTATGTGCTTAACGCTGTTATTTTAACTTATAAAAGCTTCGCACAGGAACCCTGCAGAGTCATTAATTACTGAATCATAATCTAAGTACTGTATGATAAAAAGACTGGAATCCCTGAGCTCCTAAAGGATGAAGTCATTTCAAGTGCTTTCGGAAAGTCACTTTTATTTTGTATTTAGAGAATAAATATTTTTTTTAGCACTAATTTAATACCTTAAGGAAGCTGTGATTAACAAATCCTATAAGTGTACTTTTCTCTAACTTGTCCCTATAATAAATTGTGATGTAAATATAATGAAGTGTGATATTAGGACATCTTTTAATAACATTCACATGTTGTTCCAGTTTTTTGTTGTTGTTTTCTTTGTTCCAGCAGCTTTGACTCAGAGTCTTTTCTTCTCACTGAGGGGGAGAGAGGCTATGCCAGAGCTGAACTTAGAGTGGGCACGCTAAGGACTTAAACAAGGAATGTTATGACAGTTTAAATGCACATTGATCCGCACTTTGGCAGGATTTGTGAAATATATCTCCCCAATTTCAAGCTAATAAGGAGGAGGAAATATGCTGCGGTTTAGTTCACTGCTCATGATCCAGTGATATTTGCTTTGAGTCATCTTTTACCCGTAACATTCTCTATGATATCTTGTCAGATTTCATATTTTTCTCATTTCATCATTTTGTCTTCATACCACGGTCTCTGAGCTGCTTTTCTCTTGGCCTGATAGAATGTACACGATGATTCATATTCCTTATCTAACATTAGCTCCCCTGTTCTAATGTTTCTTCCCGCCAGACTGTTTCAGTCTCAATGCTGGCTGCTTTTTTGTTGAATTTGTCACACGAGTTCTGCTTCTTTTCAGAGAAAAGTGGCTTACAGGTGTTGCTGCTACTTAAACCTAATTACACAGTATGCTCAGTGTATCTTGGATGCCAAGATGTGAGAGAAGCAGAAGTGTTCTAGTTGTTCCATTTCACAGTTATTCTCGGCAGTTCTACTCAGATTTCTGCAAATGGAGACATTTGGTATAAAATCAGATAATTTACTCGTCAAAGTGAGTTTGAATTGTGGCTCCCGAAATATGGAATGAAAAAAAAAAATTTGCTGTGTCTACACATAAATATAAGGCAAAATATTATGACCGGCTACCTTTTTTTGAACCTCTTTTCAATTTGTGCTGATTGGTTAAGTCTTGGACATCACTAAAGCCCTGAATGTTTGCTGCTGCACCAGATGATTTATATCCAGTCAGCTGGGGCCTCCATAGATCATTCTGGTTTGTGCAGCACACCCCAAAGATGCTCGATTGAACTCAGATCAGGGGAATTTTGAGACCAATAAATGGTTCTAACTGGATGATTTTTCTAAAACTTTTATTTTTGTGGTTTCTGTCAGGGTGTGTTATTCTACTGAAACAATCCATAGTCACCATGGAATACAGATTATGCTCTAAGAGAAAACAAACCTAAAAACAAAACAATATTTATAATGGAGAGATGTTTTAAGTTGGAAAAACTGTCATAACTACATTGAACAAATGAGGTGTGGACATGAATCTCCTGTAGAAATACATTTTGCAGCAGATCTAAAGAAGTATCAACAGGAAGATAGCATAGTTATAATAATATCCTAAAAAGAAGATGCTCGGGGTAGTCTATTATGTTTTTCTGTTTAAGATGCATAATGCAATGTGGCTTTTTGCCAAAGAAAACCTGTATTACACAATTCTCGTCAGGACCAGAATTCATTTATTCATAAATCCCTGCCTGTTGAAATCCACCATATAAGCCAACTATCTCTCCACCTGTGCGTCAAGCAATCCTTTGCTGTTTCTAGCTTGGACTTTTTTTTAATAGCAGCAGACCAGGAACACCTGAAAAAGTGGTGATACTTTGACCCTTTTGTTGTCATATTTTGCACTGGCTTTAAGTGCAGACAGGGAGTCGGGAGCAGCATAGTGAGTTAGAAACCACCAAATACACTGTAAAAAATATCTGTCTAAGAATATATATCATGATTTTAAAAAGTCCTGTCAAGTGCAATTGTCTTAATGCAATGGCGGATTATTGCACTTAATTTAAGTAAAACTTTCTCAAAAGAAGATCAATAATCTAACAAAAAATCTCTTGCTTAGAATATAGATCTCAAAACTAGATTAAAATCATTTTGTTAGATCTGACATTATAAGACTTGCTTAAAGGACAATTTTGCAGTGAAATAAAAAAAAAATAGAAGACTTAAATTTGGTCACAAGGGAGGCAGAGCAGTGAACATGGACAGAAAACTGGACCAAACAACAGAGAAGAAACTGCTCTGGTAACAGATCAAAGAGTGGTGCAGAAAAAAGAAAAGATCCAACAGAGAACAAGAAATCAGGATTTTATATCCTGATGTAGGATAGGAAAAGGGCATTGAATGCAGGTGAACAGACAGAGTAAAAGCAGTGAGCTGAGCGAGAGACTTGTTTAAATGTTCAGTTCTGCAAATTTACATTCAGATGCAGATTAGACTCATCTAAAAATAAGGCAGCTTTAGTGGCGGTTCTGGGCTGGAGTCCTGAGAGATCTTGCAAGAAGTTGTGAATTAGGTATTATGCTTATTACTGCATTCTATTTCTTAAAAAAGTTAAAATCCAAGATCTCCCAATCTGTTCAAAAGAGTTAAGCCAAGAGAGCTCTTTGGCTGCTGAAGAAAACATCTTCAACTACATTAACTTAAGTCCAGTTGTTTTGCTATTAAATGTTTTTTTGTTTTCTTTTAAATTCACACAGTCTGGATGACTAAGAATCTTCAAGAGGATCTGAATGAACAAAATGGGTTTTTGAATAGTGTGCTTTTAAAAAAGATGAGACCAAACTAGAGATGTTTGGCTATACTGGTCAACCCTGATTGGCACAATCAGCTTATACCAGCTTTCAAGCATGGGCTGAAGTGATGACTTGGGCTTCTATGCTGATACATGATTCTTTAGATTCAAATATTAGCCTGCATGTACAACAGCTGAAGTGTGGCTGGAACTAAGTGATGAAACAGGAAATGATTCCCAACAATGGCAGAAAATCAACAACATGGATGCTCAATTAAGCACAATAATAATCCGAACCCTGTGAGCTTTGCAACACAACAAATACAAAAAACAAACTTAATGCTTATCCAGCTTTTACTTCTTACTTCAACTCATGTGAATATCTTATGGACCAATGTTTTAAATAAAATAAAATAGATGGAAAAATAGAGGAATAAAAGAAAAAGTGTGACTTGAACTCAACTGTAGATACAAAAACCGAACCTGTCTGTCAAACTTTGCTCAAAGTTAGCTTATCCTACATTTACCTCTAGAGTTTGCCTGTGATCTTCTACATAAGCTTTAAAAATCACATACCTACTCTGAAACTTTCCATCAAGGGAGTAAAAGGACATGGAAGTTTGTTCAGATTTCCTTAAACCTCCAAAATAATAGCAATTCATTAAAGGGTCACATATGAAGGATCTAATTAAGTGGCTGATTTAAGCTTTGTTTAGTGCAGAAAGGTGGCTACTGGAGGTGTTAAATATGACATTCTGCTGAGCTGCACCCTAATGATGTGAAAGGCAGCTGTAACACAAGTGTAAATGGAGGCTCTGATCTTCTCGCTATGCCAGACTTGTCTCCTCAGCCTCAATCACACCCTACTTTAGGTAACAGGTGTAAAAAAAAATCTTCAGACTCCTGAAAAAAAGGAAAGCAACAACCTATGAACTGTCACCAATTTCAAGGCTTTGATACACCCAGAGAGATGATCCAAGACTGCATGAGGAAAAAACATAAATAACTATTTATTTATTTTGGATAAAAAAAACATGAGAAAATTCAAAATTCGAATGAGAGTTAAAATTGTGTCCTACATATGAGCTAGATGCTGGTTCAGTCGATGTGGAGGCGTGAGCTATCTGTGATGCCAGGTCTGCCTCCAGCTCTGCTTCTCTCATGCTGAACACTCCTTTTTTTGTGAGCTAGAGAGGATTGCAATATATGTGCCTTTGCGCTCCAGAGAAAATAAATGCAGTATAACACAAGCTGCATGGCCAAATGTGCAAATGTCTTTTTATATCTCTCTGCAGGTGATAATCCTGTACTTCAATCCCAGTGTGTTCCGCTGCATCCTGCTGAGATGGGTTCGCCTACTGGGATTCGCCACCACGTACGGCACCGTCATCCTCAAGCTGTACAGGTATGGAAGTTAGCAACAGGCAGCAGGAATAAGAACAAAGAGTGAAATCTGTATCTGAGATGTTTCTTTTTTCTATAAATTATTCTTGTGGTGACATTAAATTGAAAGCAAAACCTAAAAATAGGCAAACCCAACTTCTCACTTCATGCCTCCTATCCCACCATCTCCTACACTTCTCTCCCTGTTTCAATAATTCAGCTACATCTTAAGATTGCATGCTTTCTGGCCCATAAGCACATTTGAATTTCACATCAGGTCTGATCTTTCTGCGTCTTCCTGCTCAAGTATCTATTCACACACACACACTGATCTGCAGCCTGGAGCAAGTATAAGCGAGGTGGGAGAGAAAGGTCAAAGATTGGCCAGAAAGTTCTCTTGGCAAAATTACCAATTAGATTTTTTCTTTTTTTCATTGAGTTCAATGGGTGGGAAGAGTGCCTCAGGGCCAAACTTCTTATACCCTGAGTGGTCCCACTAAATATCGGATGAAACAGATTTGTCACAGTCTGGACTGCCTACTGTGAGCCAGCTAAACAGAATTACATGTTATTCTTATTATTTATAGTCTTATATCTCAGTCTACAATATAGTGAAAAGGTGTTGATATGTCTTAAACTTTTTTTTCATATTTCAATGACACAGTTAAAATAACTGTGGAGGTATTTCTTTGTGAGGATCCTGCACAATGCATGCGTAAACATAATATGTTTAGTTTTAAACTACTTTAAAAAATAAGAATATACAAAGACAGTATCTTTTGTTTTCAGTTAATTTTGCGGCTCTATTCATGAATAAAAATCCATTGCATCTACATCATGACAGGTCAGGGACGAGGTTGTAGAAAATGCTAAGCAAAGAGCATACAACCCAAAATGAAGGGAAAAAAAGTAAAAATTATAAAAACTGTGCAATAACTGTATAATAATCCTACCATATAAAAAAAGCTGTCATAAACCTACAGTATATACAGTGCTGTGTGGATGTACTGTACATACTGTATACTCCTTTGACTATTTGAGTTGATGTAACAAGTACATTTCTCCAGTGTGAAGTCAATGAAGTCAATCAATCAATCAATCAATAAAAGGTTGAGTTATAAAAATATGAACTCTTAATGCCTGAATACAAATGGATGCCACACTTTTCAGATTGTTATTTATTCAACATTTTTCATACCAAGTACTAACCTGACTCCGCCAGATGGATTTGCTCCGCATATCCATCTGGAAACCTTCCGTTGAAGTAATTTTGGGCAGGGGTGAAAATACTGGTTAGCTGATTGGCCTATGTTGGTGATAGACGGGCCAAATAAACCAATCAGATCAACGAAGCATATGACGTACTAACAGAGCGACGACGAAAACACAACCACAAGCCAGGCTACTCTTGCCGAAACCAGTCGGGAGAAGAGCAAAAACATCTTTTCCTCTGAGAAAAGCCTCCAGAGCAGTGCTTTGCTCTTCTTTCAGTGAAGAAATACTCTGTAATTCTGATAAAACTTGCTCGATAGCCACGCTAACGCTAGTTTCATCGGCTGAAGCCGCCATGCTCTTTAGACTGAACTGTCGCGCTTCTCGTTCCTCAACCCGCCTCAAAGCCAACGCTGATTGGACGTTCGTTTGGTGAACGGCTCCAAATTTTCTTTAACGGAAAGTAGCCAGACTGATATGCGAGTAAAACCTTGAAAGCTCGCGAGATCAGGATGGTCTCACGAGGCTAACCAAGTACTATTCATACCTTTTCACAATTATGCACATCTATGGTTAATCTCATTAAATCTTTCTATACGTTACAATATGTAGATACAAGTTCAAGGATTATGAATACTTCTGCCAGGTAAAGTACAGCCAACAACTTTCCTGCTTTTTGCTGTATTGTTAATGGTCTTTTTCAATTTAAACTACAGACCTAAAACCTCATAAATCAACCATATTGCCATTGATCCAACAGGCTGGTAATCAATTGTAGGTAATAAAAAACATACAAGCTCCAATTGTTGTGTTTCATATTTCAGAGAACTAAAGAAATATCTTCCTCATGCTGTACAGGAGCATAACAGATTTAATGGATATAGATAAATACAACTGAAATGAGTATGTTTCCATTCTTGTGGGAATGGTAACAGAAGAAATAGTCTAATATTAAATGACTAAACCCTAAATGTCACAGAAAACAGCAATTTATCAGCTTGGACGATGCTGATATAATTTTGGAAGCTTTAAGATTCAGACTCTCTTTCTGTGTCATTTCTCTGTCGTGCAGGGTGCTGAAGGTTTTCCTGTCCCGCACGGCCCAGAGGACCCCATACATGACCAGCTGGCGTGTCCTACGGCTGCTGGCGGTGATTCTCCTCATTGTGCTGTGGTTTTTGGTGGCTTGGACCTCTGCTGTGTGCCAGAGTCCAGAGCTGAGTCGAAGTCTCATAGTTGCAGGCTTCAACCCTGAGGGACTGCAGTTTACAATGTGCCTGCTGGACCGATGGGACTACATGATGGCAGTGGGTAAGTGTGTGTGTGGGTGTGTGTTTTCTGCGTGGCGTTTTTGGTCTGTGTTTGAAAGCAGTCTGGGCAAAGGGAGGTGTAAAAAAGTCATTTACTTGGAGACAATCTCTTAAATTTTTATTTCTTGACTCTCAGTTTAAGCATTTTCATTTAAAATAAGATTTTCATCAAAACTGATTAAATTATAATTTTAAGATTTATATTGCTTTCTTCTGGAAGTGTTATCTTACACATGTTATGAGTTTAAGTATAATTGAGAATGTATAAAAGTCTGTAAGAAGTTTTTCATCGTAATGATTGTCATTGTCACTAACTTACTAACCCCCACTCCTGCACAAGGACATTGACAGAGAGCTAGGATTGCAAAGTCACCAATGGCACTCCTTTTAGCAGGTTTATTATACCCATTATTTAATCCCTGGCTATTCTTTTAGCTGTTATAATGATAATTTTAATACACATGACAAACAGTATGGGAAGACAACTTATCTTCCCCATACTATATTAGCAGAAGAAATCCTATTTTAAAGCTGTTGGGAAAAGACTATGGAGAATGGATCTAAAGGCTCAATCAAAATTTTGCCCTATTACTGGAAGGCTGATTTCCATCAGCTGCTCTTTGTATTACTTTGCTCTGTATGGGTTTAAAACATCTTTAAAACATTTGCTTATTTCTGTTTAGTTATTGGTTTTGCATTAAGCCATTTTCTGTTTCCCATTTTATTTATTCCTTTTCAGGTATTGTTACATTAGTATAATTTAATAAATTCAATTTTCACCTTAAAGAAAATCCTTGTGTGGTCTCCTTTAATGTTACCACCACCAAACAAGCCTGGTGGACGTAACATTGTGGGGGCTTGTCCGGGATTTGAACCCGGGACCTCTCGCACCCTAAGCGAGAATCATACACCTAGACCCAGATAAAAAGTAATGAAGAAAAAAAAAAAAAAGTGTTGTCAAGATGTCATAAATTCTGTGTATGATGTGACTAAAACAGGCAGAATAAAAACTTTGAATTTTCTTGGCTGTACCGAAGAAAGATATCCACTCCTAAATGAAAACTTTACCAAAAAACAAAAACAAATGTACCGTTAATAAGATGGTCCCTTTATGCAATGTCCTTATGTTGTCATTTTCTTTGCTGGAATTGAAGATTTCCTTACTCTTGATACTGAGTAAAGAGAGGGATTCATTCTTAATTCATGTATCTGGATAAAAGAAAAAAATATCAATCTGTCCTCTGGTAGCTTGGTACTATAGTGACTTTTATCCAGAACCTTCAAAGTTGCTAATACATTTGATGGAAAAAAATGGAAAAGGTTTGGACATTTCTTATGCGGCTCTTAAGGAAATGGCTCAGTGGCTCTTTGGTTCAAGTTTCCTTCTCTTTAAATTTTATTCACTGGTTTCTCACCCTGATAAAGTGGTGGTGATTCCAGTTTCTGAATAGCTGACAGTAATTTGATGTTTTCTTTTGCAATGCCAGGACACCCTCTTTAGGGTTACTTAGATGACAAATTGTTGTGTCTCCTGGTAGGTATATAGTAGTTCTAATAGTTCAGGATGTAACAGAAAATGTATTCACCATTTTTCCGTATACCTACAATGAATAAAAGTATTGCAAAGTTTGGATGTATAGTTACAAAATGGTATGTTTACAAGGACAAAATTTATGGTAGAGAAGAGAAACAGAAATGTAGGGGAGTGCTGGCCTAGTGATAAGAGCATATGTCTTGGAATCCTGAGGTTGTGACAGTAAAACCCACTCCCACAAACTGCCACTATGGGTTCCTGAGCATAGACATTTAAGCCCACACTGCTTCCCTGGGTGCCGCACAATGGCAGCCCACTGCTCCCCAAGGGCATGGGTTAAATGCAGAGACTGAATTTAATTGCGCTGTTCTAATGACAGTGTAATGACAATAAAACATTTGTAAAAAAAATAAAATAAAACTGTAGCTAATGTGTTTGTACAGTGGTGTAATGTTCGCCCTAAAGGTGTTAACTCTCTGATCTTATTCACTGTTTGTATGCCTGAAGTGATAACTCTTTCAATAATCCTTAAATAACGCTTCTTCTTATCCAGGGTTCCCATACCTTTATTTACATCAAATTTAAAGACTCTTAAGGACCTTCCAGGACCTATTCTCTGAAATTCATGGACCAGCAGCTATTGCTACTACTGAACATCCAGCCATCCATCCACTTTTCCTCTTTATACCAGCTGGCATTGCGAAGGGTGCTGGTGCCTATCTCTTTCTACGGGCGAGAGGCCGGGTACACCCTGCCAGTCTATCACAGGGCAACACAGAGACAAACAGGACAAACAAACATTCATGTATACACACTTAGACCTAAGGACAAGAACAGTCTTATTTTTGGACTGCGGGAGGAAGCTTGAGTACTGCTGAACATGTTACTGATAAATGTTTTGGATCAAAAGTTAATCTGAAAAAATGGCATCAAAGTTGTTTAGAGAGATCAAAAAAAAATTGCCTGCATTAATAATGGTAATATTCATAACCTACATTAATTTCTGCAATACATGAAAATGTCTAATGATTGAGAGATGAGGCTTTTTTTAAGCTTAAAAATTTTCAGCAAATGTGGTGAAACATTGGTTAATTTTTTTCAAGAATGTCGTGAATAAGTGCTCGTGAATAAGCAAAAACTTCCTCTTCTTGACATCTACATCGGTAAAAAGCAGTTTACAGAAAATAATTCTACTTATAAAAAAGTGAAATAAAAAGTTGTATTTCTAATAGAAAATCTTGCCAAAATAAATCCTAATTTTAAAAGCACAATCCCTTTAAACAAAATGTCAAACACAGCGTCACTCCATTTTAATACAATCTTTAACTGGGAGCATGTGAAATACAGACAGATGGGGCTCAATGCAAGCTGGACATTACAAGATAAGGCCATCCTAAATACATTAGGGTTCTCAAATTGATTAATAGTTCAGCATATTAGGGCTGACTAAAGAAGGTTTCATTCTTTAAGACAGGTTCAACACCACGCACTTTCTGAGTAAAGCCTGCAAATGTCACAATGATGGTAGGACACTGTCAATACTGAGCTGGACAAAGCAGCTCTGTCTCTGCTCCCTTCTTTGATCAGTTTGCTGCAGGCTCAGCACAAACAAATATTTTTTTTGGGTCCTCTGATGACCATTCAGTATACTCTAGCTGTCGTTGGCAAGCCATGCATCCTGAGATTTGCATTTTCCATGCATTGCATTACACACTGACTTAATGCCTGACTCAAAGTGACTGGCAATTCAAAACGTTCACCTACAAAAACATTGCACACACCAATGCATCTGCTTTTACATGCACATAAATTGCCATTTTCAAAAAATACACAACACAAGCAGCAACGAACAAATAAAAAATAATGGTATATTAGTATTTGACATACTGTACGTGTCAACCCCCACCCCAGAAAAATTTAAATAAGATTCAAGGACTTTAAAAGGCAGCTATCTGTTCATTAGTCTGGCATAAGCCAGATTGAAATGCATAGTTTAATTTGAATTTTTTTACACTATCTATCTGTAATGCCCCCTATGGAAAATGTTTACAAAAGGGAGGAACCTTCAGTACAATTATCAAGCTGATTGGGTAAATCACCAAGTGGCACCTGCTTCCCATGTCAAGCTTTTACCCAATCGCTGCAGCAGTAGCAGCTGTGATGCATAACATTGTCAATTTTTTTTTTTTTTTTTACAACCAGCAGAGTTAACTTATAAATAAACTCTCGCCAAGTCTGGTTGGGTGGAAAGGGCAAACATCTTTCCCATCCACAAAGGCACAAATTGCATGTTTTTGCTGCAAGGGCCGCACTGCTACATGCAGCCAAATGACCTAACTTTAACTTTTACATTTCATAATTTCCTGATTTTTCTGCTCCACTGACCAAGGGAAAATTATAACTACTTGAAGACTTCCAAAGAAAAAGCTGAAACTTCTAATTTTTACTGTTTCAATTAGTAAACATTATGGTGTATTTCTGTTGGCGGAGCATAGCTGAAGGCAGAAATATCTCCCGGAGGGCTTTATCAATGCTAACTAGCAGGGTTGTTTTAGCTAACTTTGTTAGCTAAAACAAAATACAACTGTAGAAAATCTGATTTTATTTGAATACGTTGTCTAAGCTTGTGGTAGGCTGCGCAGTGGCATGGCTAAAGCAAGAATGTCCTGGGTTTGATTCCTGGCGCAGGGTTTGCATGTTCTCCCTGTGGATGCGTAGGTTCTCACAAGGTACTCCTGCATCCTCCAGAGGTCCAAAAGCACTGATAGGTTAATTTCCTTCTATAAATTGTCTTTAGGTTTGAGCGCGTGTGTCCATAGTTGTATGTCTTCATTTTGCCCTGTAACAGACTGGCAACCTGTACAGTGTGTACCCTGCCTTTCGCCCATAGATTGCGACTGATAAGCATTGGTCTCCACTGATGGAATAAGGGGGGAGAAGATGGATGGATAATTATTACATTTCTGGGGCCAGGATATTTATTTAAAGAAGTTAACTTTAAAAGGACAGAGCAAAACAAAACATCTATTGACCAACTCAATATCGACAATCTGAAAGTATTACCTTTGACTGAGTGCATTATATCTACATCTAGCGAACTAAAAAACAGAGGCCAATCTGAAGTTCTAGCAATCTGTGGCAAGGCCAGAAAACAACCAAGCAGGATCATTGTAAAAAGAAGAAACAGCTCTTTTTTGATGGCAAACTGTCCTTGCAAAGCTGAGTGAGTAATGTTACTTAATATAACAACGAAAGATGGTAGGAATGTTATTTACATGTTATTTTACATTGATTTAACATCAGAATTAGGTTTATTGGCAATTAGGTTCGCACTTACAAAGAATTTGACTTAGTGTTGATGGTGCAGACATATTAGATAAATATACAGAAACTAGAGTTATATACAATATAAAACATACAATATATTATATACAATATTAGACTGTGCGTTAATGTAACGCAGGAGG